ACCGTTTTAGGTCGGAAAATCCAGGTGAGATCTCTTTTACGCAAGGCATGAGGTGCTGGGTCTGCAGTGAGCAGGGCATGGAGAACTGGCTGGAGGGGCTCAGTAGCTGGGTGACCACCTACTTCTTCCTCTTCTCTGCCTCCTACTTGCAGGTGATCAGTGACCTTGACCTGGCCTGGAGGACAAAAGCAGCACTGTGTCCCTCTGTCCCCACGCAGCCCCCAGGCTTTGAGCCCCCGACCACAGTCTGCTTCTTTCCAGCCTCTGTCAGACGCCATCTAGTCCCAGCTGTTACCCCAAAGCCCTATGGGGGTGACCAGCCCACGGCTGCCTGGAGAGCTACTTCTTCTTCAGGCACAGGAAGGGTCTCATCTAGTCAGGCCACCGGGGCTGGCAACACCCTCCAGCACTTCCTGACCTGAACAATTAACACTGAGAAGCCTGGAAACTGGGCATAAGGAGGCCGAGGTAACAAGATGGTGGGTGCCAACTGCTTCCTGACCCTGAGCAGTGCCCACCACCGCCCTGGACCTGCAGGAGGTGGAGAGCAAGTGTTTCACCCAGGAGGTGAGCAACAGCACCCTGTGGCTCAAGAGATTTGGCCCATTTTTTCCGCCACCAGTCTGGCCTCCTCGCTGCACCGGCTGGCCTTCTCTGTCAGCCGGGAACCAGGCCATTGCCTTTACCTGAGGAGAGGTACAAATGAAACCATGGCGACAAGCAGCCCAGGCAAAATCTGGACCAAGTCATGCAACTGTGAGCGCTGGGTCAGGGTCACCTAGGCAACTTCACAGACATCATCCCATCATCCATGTTCTTAAACTAGCGCTTAAACTAACCAAAGTCAAGGAGAGCGGGCAACATGTGGAAGAAGGTGAGATGAGGTCCAAAAGATTGATGGTGTTCATGATGGATGTAACACTTTTTCTTCCCACTTGCTAAAATTCACCACTTCCATCAAATTAGATGGAGTTTGCAAACTCCAACTATAGCAGGTATGCGACTCCTCATTTAGACTCTTGTTCTTTGAACACACACTTTTCTGATTGAAAGTGTGAAAAACTAATAAGTATGGTGACAATCTCATATTGTTTGTTGGAGGCGTGGAGAAAGGCATAGGGTTCACTAATGCACTTGGTCTTATTGAAACATTTAATATATAAAAATATTAGTGTTATTACCCAAGATAAAATTTATTATCATTTTTATACAGGGCATCATGGTCATTTGGTAGCTTTTTAAAAAATAAACTGTTGGGACCTGGGGGGTGGCTCAAGTAGCAGAGCACCTGCCTAGCAAGGGTGAAGCCCTGAGTTCAAATCCCAGTCCCACTAAAAATTAATAAGAAAGAAATAGTCACACCCTTCAAAACAAAAGTAATGGACTAATTATCTTGTTGGAGGAAATTTCAAGACAGGATAGCATTCAGGCTGTGTTATGGTCAGTGGGGGTGCTTTTAGCCAGATTTCTAGCAAGGATCTATAGCAAAAGCCAAGGAGAAAGGTTTTAAGAACTTACAGTTTAACTAAAAAAACAAAAAAAAGCAAGTTGACAGTTGTGTACAAGGATTAGCCATAAAGAATGAAATTGTCTTTTGCAGGAAAATTGATGAAACTGTGCATTTACTGTGTTAAGTAAGCTAGACTGAGAAAGACAAGTATCACATGTTCTTTATCATATGTGGAATCTGGAATCTGGTCACAGTAGTGTAAAATGAGGGAACTGTCTGAGGGCAGTATCAGCAGGAGGGGGAGGGTGACAGGAGAGGTTGAATATTACCAAATTACTTCATACCCGAGTTGAAAATAGAATAATGAAAGTCATTAAAATTATTTTCAAAAGGGGCAGGGAGAAGGGATTCCAAAGAGTAACAGGGGTAATTTGATCACAGTACATTATATGCATGTATGGAAATATAGCCTTACTCCCAGTATGATTTTGTATGTGTGGAGTGTGTGTGCTTTATTGTAGATTGAACTCAGTGGTAAAATAAATATTTTCTCCTTTAATTTTTTCTTTGGGATATTTGGTCAAAGCAATTCAATAACCTGCCTAATACATTCCTCCTTTTTGGAAATGGCCTCTTAGGTGAAGCTATTGAATTCAAAACAAAGTCTCCTTTGACCACTCAAAGAGACTTCTACCATTCCTGCTGTCAATTTTATTTCCCTTTTCTCTCGTTCATTTCATTTCAGCTCAAAAATAACAGCCACCATTAATTTGGGTTACAAAATTGTTCCACAAAAGATAATACACCCTGGAGATTACTTGTGCTTTACACTCACAAATATGTTATTACTCTAGGGAAAATTTTTAAAGTCTAGGTCATGAAATATGAAAAGTAATGTTTTAAATTAAATATATTCAGAAATAACAATTAAATGTATTCCTGACATGAGAATGGTTAAAGAAGTGCATCAACTGTAGTCATATTTTTAATACAGGATAACCAAGGGGATTATTTCTGTAATGTGACAAGGACTTCACATTAGTTAGGTATAGCAGGAAACAGGGATTGAGTTATTGAATTCAGTGTGATAGTTAACTTTCATATCAACTTGCATTGCTGGGGTCATGACAGTTAGATTTTCCTCTCCCAAATAAACAGATGTCTTCTGCCTACTAAAAAGCTATCTAGAACAAAGGCAGAGATGGAAGAGCTTTTATTTTAATTCCTGAATGACTGGGATATCTCATCTTATATATCTTGACCTCAGAGTAGGAACCAGAGCAGGATCCTCTGGTTCTCGGGCCTCATCTCAGACTGCACAGATCCACTGACTGCCCAGGTCCTCCTACTTACAGACAGCAGATCCTGGAACTTCTCAGCCTTCACAATTGTGACCCATTTTTTTCAGAATGAATCAATCACTTTTTTATTCCTATTTCTCTGGAGAACCTATACAACTACACAAAGAAGAAATCACATTGATTTGTGATAAAAGATATTTATAAAACTAATAAACACCATGGATTAAAGCTAACAACATAAGAAAATAGACATTTTTTAAAATGCCACAATTTATTTCAAATACAGATATCAGCAAAATTTTCATGGCATTAGCTTGGAAGTCAGAAGGAAGACAAGAACATTTCCTGCCACCCCTCAGTGTTGTTCTGGATATTCCAACAGCTTTAGGATCAAAAATAAATAAGAAGTGCAACAGTTGTAAATATTACCATTCTTTTCTGAAAAGTTGTTTACTTGAAAAAAACATAATTCACTAACATACTTAGAACAATAATATATTGGATATTTCAAAAAGCTGAGAGAAAGGATTTTGAAAATTTTCACTTTAAATAAACAATGTGTATTTGAGGAAATAAATATACTTAACCGATTTAAACATAAACAAAATATCATGGCACCCCTTAATATTTTCTGGTTTTATATATAAATTAAAATTAAAAATAAGTATTTAGGAACAAATTAAATACTAAAACAGCAATGGTTTTCACTTAAAGGAATGACGCTAATATTCATGGAAAAAAATATAAAAATAGCAAGTAATACTCAAGGGCAAAATGATACAAAGGTATCTGTTAGGTCGACACTGATGGGAAGGCCAAATTGGAGCCAAATAACAAAGCAAGCAGGCTTTATTGAGAGCGCACTCTCGGGGTAGGTTCACCATCCCCAAAGAGCAGGGCCGGAGAAGTCGCCCTGGAGAACTGGCAGCCAGTTTTTTATAGCCTGGGCTAAGTCAAGAGCTTAAGGTATTATGGGGCATTGGGATAGGTCGAGGTTTGGTGGGGAGGAGCTCGGGGTAATATGGATCTGTAGGACAGGTCAGAACCCATTGCCGGCCAGCAGGAGTTGCCATGGTAATCATGAAGCCTCTACTTGCTGCATGTCTTAATCGCTGTGCGCCAGAGTTGCCATGGTAACCATGAAGGGAAGGAGGGGATGGAGCGGAAAGTGAGCAGAGAGTCCCTGATCGCCATGGGGTGGCTGCCCACCGGCCAAACAGTATCATTATACATAATTGCATAATTAAATAATCATAATGTAATAAATTTATAACGTATTTGTGAAAATGCCAATAACCCAACATAATTAAAGCATCGTGTTACGAGTGCAAGAAGTGAACTCAGGCTGGCTAGAGTCACATATAGGCGTATGTATCTATGTCTGACCTTCTGTGTTTCTATCTATCCTGAACAGTAAAGATGAGATTTGGTGCCTCTCCTCCCAAAAACACTAAAGGGGAGAAGCAGCACCAAAAGGCACAATACTTTGATTCTATGTATGAATGAGATAGGGGGCGTTCTTTTCCTCTCTTTGGTATTTTATTTTATTAACCATACTGGAACCAGCCCAGGACTTCACTCAGGCTCAACCACTACTCTATCACTGAGCTACATTCTTGGCCTTTAAAAAATTTTTTTTATTTCCGATTCTGTGTGAAATTAAACAAGTGATATTGACTGCTTTAGGATAAGTAACTTATAGAAATACTGCAGCCTCCATGACTGACTACTTTCAGGTGTGGAAATGGCCAACACCTACCCTCAGTGGGTGGGAAGACATACCAGGAGTCTGCCAGTTTCTTCAAGGCATCTACCCTACCACCCACAAAAAACTTTTCACCCTGGACTCAGTACAAGGGTGCTGGTAGGCAATTCCATAGAGAAGCGGGAGGGTCACAGACTCATGGGGTTCCCCTACCACCATGCAGGCAGCACATGAGAAGAAAGCCTTACTTCAGGAGAATCCTCAGTCTATCCATGTGCACCCCCTCCAGCCCCAGTCTACACCTTCATCGATGAAGTCCTTCTTCCACCCTTGCTCCTTTGTGTTTAGAAAAGAAGGAAGAGAGGACAAAGCCAGAAGAAAGAGTCAGGGAGAGAGTCCTCCCTTTGGCAGGATGCTCTGGACTTTTGCCTGGAGGTTTTCCAAACAACACTTGGGAATCCACAGAACTCAGACAGAGTCTAAGTCGAAGGTTCCCCGAGGAAAGAAGAGCTAGATCACTGTCCTTAGGTCACGCTCTTGATCTTCATCTCCACTGCCGGAGTTGAGGAGCTGCTCCCCTTGTCCTCTTCACTCCTTCCTGCACAGTCCCTTTTGATCCCTGTGAGCCATCACTCTGGACCTGAAGGGTCTCTGACAAGTCTGCCCCTGGAGGCTGCAGACCCCGTTCTTCTCCCAGCCCTTCTTGCAGACCCTTGTCATTTGGGGGCCTCACATCTCTTCGTTGGCACTTGGGGTTTGGGCCTGATGTCACGTTCCAGTTCTTACGCTTTCCATAGGCTGCCTTAGTCTCTCTGTAAGCTGCATATTCCTCAGGTGACAAGGTCTTGAGCCAGAGATCCAGGTCCACCCAGTACTGTCTCTGCAGCTCCTCAGCCTGGCTCTTGTAACTGTCCTTCCTGCTCTGTGGGACACGTTGCCAGCGGCGGCTGATCTCTACCATGCGCTCCCTCAGGGGTAAATGCTGCAGTTCCCGACTGGCCCAGGATTCCTCATGAAATTTGTGGTAGGCATTCATGGGTGGTTTCTTGGGCTCACCAGGAAATTTCACCTCCATGGAAAGTTCATCAGTTTCCAGACCAGGCTTCACATTACTCACATTTCCTTTCAACTCTTTAGGGGCTTTGGTCTGGTGCCTCTTGAGGACACCAGATTTCTTGGAATTCTGGACTAGATGAGGATGGTCTTCCTTGAATTGAGCCACTTTTTCTTCATAGTCCTGTTTCTCTTTCTGGAAATCCTGAATGTACATCTGTTTTATGTCCTCTGGGAGCTGCTTGTATTTCTCAGACAGGACCTTTGTCAGCTCCTGGTTGTTGAGCTTAGGGTACATTTGGGAGTACTGGGCCCACTTGTCCTTGTAAAAGCGGATGTAAGCAGTCAGAGGCCTTTTGGGGTAATCTGGATGTTTCTTGTATCCCTTGCTTCTGTAGGGATCTGCAACTCGTTCTTTGGCTTCAACAACTAACTCGGTCAATGTGCGGTACTTCCTCAACTTGTGAGAAATTTCTAACCACTTGAGTTTGCACATTTCTCCCGAAAAACGGTTAAAAGCTACTTTCCCCCAGTCCAGACATGCCTGGGTTGTTTTGAATGCTTGGCTGTCATCGGGTGGGAGATTCTTCTCCATGCGTTCCATTAACCTCAGGATGTCGTTTCTGGACCAGTAGCCTTGGTTATGTAGCGATGCCATTCCCAGCCTGGATTTGGGTTTACTGATACTTACTTTGAATTATGCAATAGAACTTCTCTGCTCTTGAAACGAAGCCTAAGCTTGCCTTCTCCATGGTGGAAGTGCACCTTCACGTCCCCACTGCAGGCTAACTTCTACTGGATGTCCACAGGCCCCCTCAATAGAACTGAATAAAATAAACTCCAGACCACTCACGCTCTCAGAAGCTTCAGAGAATAAAAAAGTTCTAGGGACAGAGAGTAAAACACCAGTAAGAGGAAAAGGAGTTTCCATTTGTAGTACCCTGAGTGTGGTCACTGTCTGTGAAGAGCCCAAATAGTCATCACCAAAAGTGCTGATGAGGACCCAGAAGTAGATGGGAACAAGCCAGTGAGCTCCTAGACAGGCCTCCAACTCTGATCTGTTCTGGGCTTGGAATGTGACCCTCTAATAGGCTGAGTTAATTCTTTCAGGACCCACATATGGGCATAAATGCTTTGGAGTAGAACTTCCTGCCTCTGTGGAAAGTTAAACCTCAGTGAAAATTTTGCAAGAGTGAAGATTTTTTGTTCAGTTGAGATAAAGTCTCAATGTCTTGCCATGTTGGCTTCAAATTCAAGATCCTTCTGCCTCACTCTCCTAAGAACCTACCACCCCTCAAAGTCAAGGCACAGTTCATCATCAGTGCTGGGCATGGACTCCAGGGCCTCGCACTTGCCAGTCAAGAACTCTATTGATGAGCTAAATCCCCAACCAAGACCTGGACGATTATGCAAAGTCACAAAGTAATCATAGTAGAAGATTAAAGTATTCAAAAAAACTAAAATATCTAGTAAAGTCATATTTGAGATACAATAAGGAATGACTAGTAGCCCAGACATGAGACTCTGCTATGGAAGAGATTTTTGGAAATTTTTTCCAAAAAGGACATATAATCAAAAGTAAATAAATGAGGACTGGCGGCATGGCTCAAGTGGTAGAGCACTTGCCTAGCAAGCACAAAGGCCTGAGTTCAAATCCCAAATAAAAGTCTGGGGTCAGGGCTGGAGGTATGGCTCAAGCTGTAGAGCACCTGCTTAGCAAGCATGTGGCCCTGAGTTCAAACCCCAGTCCCAGTGGGGAAAAAAAAGTAAATAAATGAAATCTGCAATACAATAAATCTTTGAAATAAACCAAGTACAGAAGTTGAAAAAAAGCATGTTCAAATATTTTTTTATTTCAAAAATCAACAGATGGTTTCCAGTGGTTCACACCTATAATCTTAGCCAGGGAGGCTGATGTTAGAAATATTGTGGTTCAAGATCAGTCCAGGCAAAAAGTTCACAAGACCCCATCTCAATGGAAAAACAGCTTGGTGTGGTGGCATGCACCTGTCATCTCCCTCTCCTTATGGAGGGAAGCAGAAAATGGGAGAAATCTGTGTCCAGCCTGAAGAAAACCCAATATTCTATCTTAAAAATATTCCAAGATAAAAATGGCTGGAGATGGAGCAAGCAGTAGAACACCTCCAATAAATGTGAATCCCTGAGTCAAAACCACAGTACTACAAATGAGAAAAAGTACTACTTCTTCTATGTCCTCAGAAAAGTGAAAATTATTGATACACACACACACACACACACACACACACACACGCTATATATATATATATATGAAATAGAAGGATGAAAGCTATTGCAATTGCTTTAACTGGGGTGGGGAGGGTTGGGGAGGAGATGTAGAGGCGATCTAACCAAAATACAATGTAAGACTATTTGGAATTGTTCCTGACTTTTCTTTCTTTTCCATTTTTATTAGGATTTATTCATTGTACAGGAGAGACTCATTGTGACAATTGCAAATATTATTTTTACTTAACCCAAGGGTGATGCCTTTCAAATTGAAGCAAACATAGGTATAGTGTGTTGAAATGAGTCTATAGATAAAATTAGCATATTTTTGCTTGGTTATTAACTACAATAAAGTATTTTGACATGGGTTAAAAAATAAATAAAATATCTCTCTCTGTCTCTCTCTTTCCATGACTAAGGACTGTAACACACAGGAACATTTAGTCTCCACAACAAATATCTGTTTTCTCTCTGCCAACACACACATACACTTTTCTAAGGGCAATTAAAATTGATTAGGCTTAATCCAAGATGGTTTAAATTGATTAGTGTTGAGTTCACCTTCCAACTCTTGATACCAAACAAAGCTAAGGTTATGCTGTGAACCTAATTTTAATGCAAATTAAAGTTCAAAAAAAATATAAAATAAAAGGGGCTGGTGATGTGCCTTAGTGGTAGAGCACAAACCTTGGGTTTGATGCCCAGTACCACAAAAATGGAACAAAACTATCTGTTATTTCTCATTCAAAAAAAAAAACAATACTTTCATGACCATTCCAGACCCTCATAGCAATTTCACATTAATAGAGGTTAATTAACAATCTCTTGTCATTTCTCACAAAAAAAAAAAATCACTGAAAGATGACTTTTCCTCTCTATACTAGAGAGTTCGGAGATACAGTTATTAGAAGCATGATCAATTCATCTTTATTCTTGGTGTTTCCCCCTAGCAGTCAAACTCCTCTCTTTTTTGGGAACTCTATTTGAATATTTTTCAAATCTAGTGCTCAAACTGAAGGCTTTAAAGGTCAGCAAATGGACTTTTGCATTAAGTGTTTTCTTGGAAAATCTACACATTAAACTTCTACAATGATGTGTATAAAGATTCATTGATAGTTTCCATAACTGATAAAAACTGCAGAAACATATTGTTTAAAACCTATGGAATTTAAAATAACAATATATAAGGTAAAACAGAAGTAAAAACAAAAAACACTTGACCATCTCAATAGATGCAGAAAAAGTCTTTAGTAAGATTTAGCACCATCTTATGATAAAAGCTCTGATGAAACTAGGAATAGAAGGAATGTACCTCACATAATAAAGGCTATATATGACAAACCTATAGCCAACATCATACTTAATGGGAAAAAACTGAAACCATTTCCTCTAAAGTCAGGAACAAGATAAGGGTGCCCAACAATCAACTCTTATTCAACATAGTCTTGCAATTCCTAGACAGAGCAATAAGATAGGAAGAAGAAATAAAAGGAATACAAATAGGTAAGGAAGAAGTCAAACTATCCCTATCTGCAGACATGATCTTATACCTAAAAGACCTGAGAAACTCCACCAAAAAAAAATCCTAGACACCATAAACAGCTTTACCAAAGTAGCAGGATACAAAATCAACTTACAAAAATCAGTAGCCTTTCTATACACCAATAATGTACAAATTGAGAAAGACTTCAATTTCCAAAAGAGAACCCCAAATACCTAGGAATAAACTTAAAAGTATGTAAATGACCTCTACAAAGAAAACTACAAACCACTGAATAAACAAATCAAAGATGGAAAGATCTCCCATACTCATGGACTGGTAGAATCAACATAGTGAAAATGGCTATACTCCCAAAAGTAATCTACATGTTCAGCACAATTCCCATCAAAATCCCAATGAGATTCATCACAGAGATTGAAAATTCAACCCCAAAGATCATCTGGAAGTACAGAAGACCATAACAGCCAAGGCAATACTGAGCAAAAAGAGCAAGGCTGGAGGTATCACAATACCTGACTTCAAACTGTATTACAGAGCCTTAGCAATAAAAACAGAATGGTACTGGCACAAAAACAGATGTGAAGGCCAGTGGGACAGAATAGAGGTCCTGGAAATGAATCCACACAGCTACATCTACCTAATTTTTGACAAAGACAACAAAAACATAGGATGGGGAAAAGAAAGCCTTTTCAACAAATATTGCTGGGAAAGCTGGATCTCTGCCTGCAGAAAACTAAACTAAATCCATGTCTTTCTTTCACTCTATACACGTATCAACTCTAAGTGGATTAAGGACTTTAATAAAAGACCTGAAACTTTGAAGCTAGGGCAGTGAAAGAACAGGGAATACATTGGAATTAACAGACATAGGCAATGACTTCCTAAACAGAACTCAAATGGCTCAGCAACTAAGAGAAAGGATTGACAAATGGGACTACATGAAATTAAAAAGCTTCTGCACAACAAAAGAAATGGTCTCTAAATTGAAGAGACCACCCACAAAATGGGATAAAATCTTTGCTAGCTATACATCTGACAAGGGGTTAATAACCATAATACATAGGTGCTCAAAAAACTAAATTCCCAAAAAATCAATGACCCAAATGAAGAAATGGACAAATGAACTGAAAAGTGACTTTTCAAAGGAGAAGTCCAATTGGCTAAGAAACACATGAAAAAATGCTCACCATCCTTGGCCATAAAGGAAATGAAAATCAAAACCACACTAAGATTCCACCTTACTCCTGTGAGAGTAACTTCCATGAAGAACACAAATAACAACAAATGTTGTCGAGGATCCTGGGAAAAAGGAACCCTGGTACACTGCTGGTGGGAATGTAAGCTAGTACAACCACTATGGAAAACAGTATGGAGGCTCCTTAAAAAACTAAAAATAAACCTGCCATACAATCCAGCAATACCACACCTCAAGATATACCCAAAGGACTGTGAGTTAGTATACAACAAAAGCACCTGTACACCTATGTTTATTGCAGCATTATTCACAATAGCTAAGCTATGGAAACAGCCAAGATGAATGAATTAAGCAATGTGGTACTTATATACAATGGAATTTTACTCAGCCACAAAGAAGAATTAAATTTTGTCATTCTCAGGTAAATGGATGGAACTGGAGAACATCATCTTAAGTGAAGTTAGCCAGACTCAGAAGGCTGAAAGAAGAGATTCCAAGATGGTGGCTAGAGGGAGGAGGCAGAAAGCATGCCTCCTATAATGAAATCTTGGAGAGATGCTGGAGACACACCTTGCAGGCAAAACCACTGAGAAGAGGCAAAACTTTGACGCCTCCACACCTCCAGCCTGTGCAGAGCATCTCCACTTCACGTTAAACTGAGAAACCAGGAGGGCCCCCAGGCCGCTAGTCATCCGCACCCAGATGGCTTGGGAAG